ATGTGATCAGTAGCAATATGTAATTGAAAAATTTAGTTTCATTCTTTGTTATTAAAGAAATATTCAGTCATAGCTATTCAGAGACATGTGCTCACACATTAACATCTGAAAAGACAGAGCAGCTTCCAGGCTGGCAGTGACACCTAAGTGCCAATAAGATTTATCTGTATATATACACAGGATAAACTCGAAAAATTGGAATATCGTGCAAAAGTTCATTTATTTCAGTAATGCAACTTAAAAGGTGAAACTAATATATGAGATAGACTCATATGCAAAGCAAGATCGATCAAGCTGTGATTTGTCATAATTGTGATGATTATGGCTTACAGTTCATGAAAACCCCAAATCCACAATCTCAGAAAATTAGAATATTTTGAAAAGGTACAATATTCTAGGCTCAAAGTGTCCCACTCTAATCAACTAATTAAGCCATAACACCTGCAAAGGGTTCCTGTGCCTTTAAATGGTCTCAGTCTGGTTCAGTAGAAATCACAATCATGGGAAAGACTGCTGACCTGACAGTTGTGCAGAAAACCATCGACACCCTCCATAAGGAGGGAAAGCCTCAAAAAGTATTTGCAAAAGAAGTTGGATGTTCCCAAAGTGCTGTATCAAAGCACATTAATAGAAAGTTATGTGGAAGGGAAAAGTGTGGAAGAAAAAGGTGCACAAGCAGCAGGGATGACCGCAGCCTGGAGAAGATTGTCAGGAAAAGGCCATTCAAAAGTGTTGGGGACTTTCACAAGGAGTGGACTGAGCCTGGAGTAAGTGCATCAAGAGCCACCACACACAGACGGATCCTAGACATGGGCTTCAAATGTCGTATTCCTCTTGTCAAGCCGCTCCTGAACAACAAACAACGTCAGAAGCATATTACCTGGGCTAAAGAAAAACAGACCTGGTCTGTTGCTCAGTGGTCCAAAGCCCTCTTTTCTGATGAGAGCAACTTTTGCATCTCATTTGGAAACCAAGGACCCAGAGTATAGAGGAAGAATGGAGAGGCACACACTGCAAGATGCTTGAAGTCCAGTGTGAAGTTTCCACAGTCTGTGTTGATTTAGGGAGCCGTGTCATCTGCTGGTGTTGGTCCACTGTGCTTCATTAAGTCCAGGGTCAACGCAGTCGTCTACCAGGAGTTTTTGGTGCACTTCATGCTTCCTTCCGCAGACGAGCTTTATGGGGATGCTGACTTAATTTTCCAGAAGGACTTGGCACCTGCCCACACTGCCAAAAACACCAAAACCTGGCTCAATGACTGTGGGATTACTGTGCTTGATTGGCCAGCAAACTCGCCTGACCTGAACCCCATAGAAAATCTATGGGGCATTGCCAAGAGAAAGAGGAGAGACATGAGACCAAACAATCCAGAAGAGCTGAAGGCCGCTATTGAAGCATCCTGGTCTTCCATAATGCCTCAGCAGTGCCACAAGCTGATAGCTTCCATGCCACGCCGCATTGAGGCAGTAATTACTGCAAAAGGGGCCCAAACCAAGTACTGAGTACATATGCATGCTTATACTTTTCAGAGGTCCGATATTGTTCAGTGTACAATCCTTGTTTTATTGATTCTAATTTTCTGAGATTATGGATTTGGGGTTTTCATGAGCTGTAAGCCATAATCATCACAATTATGACAAATCACGGCTTGAACTACCTTGCTTTGCATGTAATGAGTCTATCTCATATATTAGTTTCACCTTTTAAGTTGCATTACTGAAATAAATGAACTTTTGCACGATATTCTAATTTTTCGAGTTTCACCTGTATATAATCAGACTTTGCCACCTTCCTGAAGTTTAAAAGAGGAACGCAGACGTTTCGGCTTTATGACACCAGGGGGGCTCTGATCTGTCTGGGGAGCTTTAAAGTATATATACAGATCAAAGGAATAGATTTCATCTCTCATAAAAGCTAAAATATTAGTTGCAGAGAGATGAAAATACTTCCTTCTGATTAAGCACTCTGTAGGCTACATCTGCATGTAAAAACCGTATTTGTGGCCTATGTAGAATGCCAGAAAATTTCAGGAAATGGTTATATGGCTCCGGATTGCGACAGCTGAACAGTGTTTGGTAATCTCGCAATCAGACCGATGCGCTGGTGTCGGGAATTCAATCCCTGACTTGGTAACTCAAACCGTTCCTGGTCTAATCGACTTTGTGCATTTCAGCACTCAGAACGTCCTGTGGGCTGGTACGGGAACACTCCCCAGGGTTGATTGGCCAAGGACTCGTGTCCAGTCCACGTCCATATTCCCATAAATTGAGGGCTTGAGGTATGGACGTTGTGATTCGCATGGAGCCCGTCCTTATTGACTGACGGATCGCGGACTTTCTCTGACTTGCTCCAGTCGCAGGATAAATCTTGGCAAAAGTTTTATTTCTGTTTTTTATTCCCTTTTATTTTAAAGTCAGTAGCCAATTGTGTGTCTTCTTGTATTTGTTGTATTCTCTGTAACTTTTTATACTTTGTACATATTTTATGCACTGCCCACTTTGGGATATTAAATCATAAAATTAATAAGTGACTTCTGGGTACTTAAGCTCGGGCTCATATCTCCGGAGAGATTAGATTGTATTGTATTTTAGGGTCTTTAAATGCTCGGTCAAGTTCATTGCCTATCTGTATGCAATTGCACTGTGTGTTGGCAGATTGTGTGCAGAATGTAAAGGTAGCAGATCTGCCAGACGGAGATCTGGGTGTGTGTGCTGTCCCAACAGACCATTCTGCAGATAAACTGTTAGGTGGTGGCAAGCTACAGTTTGTGGTGTGGCTGGTGTGGGGGTGTGTGGACAGTGGAAGAGTGATTAACACCGGCGTTCTGGCTTGTAGGATAGCTGGAGGAATCCTAGAAGGGTGTGTGATTGCTAGGCTGCTCCTCAACCCTAATCAGTGCACCAGATTGTATGTAAGATCGCGTCTGCCAGTGTGTGTGGTCAGCCAGCTGGATTTTAGTTTCCCTCCGGTGGTGGCCAAGAGGTAGTGCGGGCTGTGAAAGTGTATCACGGCCGGTCTTATATATGTATATATATTCAGATTAAGTCCCCCTTATTCCCTCTTTACCCAAGTCACGGCCGCACGTACGCGCCTCGGTTAGCTAGTCGCTGTGGGCGTGTGAGGTGAACCATGACAATACCCCATGAAGTATCTATCACTGTAATTCGGGTTGGCATGAATTATTCGAGTTGGTACCCAATACTATCAAAACAGAAGTTTATAAAACGGTTTCCAGGATGGTTGATTTAAAGGCACCAGTCAATATTCTAGACCAGATTTTGCCACCACTTCCAAGGGGTCGATGAGATCCCACACCCATTTCTGAACATATGAAATGGGTGGGAGGAGTCCTTGCTCATTTAGAAGGAGAAATACAAGTCTGAGGGATTCTGGAAAACAGGTACATAGTATCCAGTATTGTATACAGGAACTTTGAATTCTCTCTGATGGAGGAGATCCAATTCTGGAGATGGAAACAGTGGTAGTATCCCGCTTGAGGTGCTTTGTGATATTCTTGCAAGGTTGTCAAGGCAGGGAAGGAGCATAGCATCAGAAAATGGTGTAAGAGTAAAGCCGTGAGTAGCCCACCAATCAAAAGACCTTGGCTGCTCTATACCCGGTAAGGAATAGTGGATTGTTAATAATCAGGAATAAGAAAGGGGAACATTAACTTACCTGAATACTGAATTGAGCCCCAAAGTTTCAGACTGTGCAGCATCAGCTGGCTTAGGAAGCGTTGACAGACAAAGTGATAATTGTGATGGAGCTGCAATTTAGCAGTTCCAAGAGCGTCCAAAAGGCTACCTCCAATATGTATGTATTAAGGAAAGCTGAGTGATTTGTGAAGCTTTTAAGTAGCTTTCTACATTGGGCCTCGCTGTAGTCTGTGTGCCAAAAAATGGTAGTACAGAGGACCCCAGTTTGTAGGCCCTGGTAAAAAGAGAGAATTTGTTTCTGCAGTAAGTGTAGAGAGAAAAAAACACATTAATTGTCAGGGAAGATTGTTTTTCCACAATAGGGATGGAAATTTCCATCCATTGATCTCAGCAGAGGGTTATAATTTGGAGAAAGTAACAAAGCATAGTGAGAGCTCAGTTCGATAGACAAATAGTCCAGCATCAAAGTCACACAGTTGTAGGGAAAAATGAGATTGAATATAGGAAACCACCTCTTGGAAGTGTGATATTTAGAGTTATTTAGATTTAGTTTGGTTTACTGTGAGGCCAAAGAGTTGACAAACTGAATATGAATTTGATGGAGATTCATAAGGGTAGTGAGAGGGTTGGCGGGGATTATAGGAGTTTTGCTCAAAAATAGGTTAGCCTTGGAGTAGAGTCCAGCATTACAGACTCCCAACAACATCTGGGTTGTCTCTGATCGCTATTGCCAAGGGTTCAATGGGAAAGATGGATTGAGGTGAGGATAAGGGACAGAAAATGTGGAAAGGATGCAAATAGTATCCAACGTATCTGACAGTCGCAGAAGAGGTAGAGTATAGTGCAGATAACCATGAGAGTATTTATTCCCCGAAACCCCATCACTGTAGAAAATACAGTAATATGTCCCAGAAAAGGGAGTCAAACACCTTGTAAATAATCAAGGGACAGAAGGAATCCAGAGATGTTATGTGGATGTAAAAGGTGGGTTAGGTGGATGTCTTTGTGTATATTGTCCCCAGATTGGCGTTCAGGATAAACTCCACTAGGTCCTTTTGTAGAAGGGATCAGAGATTTTTTTATTGATCTGAGAGCCAGAAACTGCCTTCTTTTTTTCTTATGCTGGGCTTTATTTATAAAATCTAGAATTAGAAATATGCATGGACTGCTGATAGCAACCAATGAGACCCCTGAACATGTTTTTCTAGTGCAGTTAAAAAAAATTAGAAGAGTTTGAGCAAAATACTATGCCGCGTCGTTATTTAGCTATTACAGCCTGTGTTCTGATCAGGCATCAGTCCTTTAAACACTAATTAAAACGCATCTGTCTTTTAAATGACTTACCCAACTGATTCTGAATATCAGAAAACTGGTAGTACTCCACATATTTATTCTGAGAGAAAAAATTTTTGTAGACATGTCGGGCCCCAAAAAGCCAGACGTCACTGTCATCTGTGATAGTCCCTGAAGTCTGGTCAGTTAAATCCAAAACTGCACACTGAGCTTCTGCCTCCATAGGGGCAACAACATAGGGGATGCCAAACAGGCGTAAGAGTTCCTAGAAAACATACAAAAAAGCACAATGTTTGTGGAAAACTATACTCGGACAACTGCAACATAAGGCTTTAGTAATGTTTAAATTACAATATCTATGGAAGAATCCACAGTAAAAGAATACAAAAAAAAACAAAAAAAACTGAAGCAAGGCTTTTGGTAGGGATGGAGAAATCATTGGGCCAGATATTACCTGCATTTATTAAAGCATTAGTCTGAAAGAGGGCAGCTAATGCTGCCCCCCTAGGTCACACTCTTCTGTGAATCTGAATATACCACATATTCCCTGGGCAGAACTTACACAGACACACTATAGAGTGTATAAATCATAGGATCTTTCACTTGCCAGTTCTTAATTTTTTTCTTCACCTTGAATGTTGCAGAGCCTTCAAATAGAAAATTCTAATTTATAAAAAATGTAAATAGCACAAAATACGTTTGTGTGTCTTATAAAATATTTCCTGCTTATGGGAAAGGCTGCTTTTCCAAACAGTCTTCCCATGGCTGCAGTCGGCTTTTAGGCATCCCTTGTAATAGGAGTTTCACTTCTAGTATTTTTAGTACTTTATAACACTCCTCCACTAATAATGCTGACAGTGCCCTTTTTTTCTTATTACAGCACCGAGTCTGTTCAGTTGGTAATAATAAAGGCACACACAACCCCCCCCCCCACACACACACACACACCCGCTAATCATAGTCAATATTAGAAAGGATGGGTTAATTTTATACAAACATTAACATTTTATGTTGTTGGAGTGGAAATGATTTAAAACATTGTAATTGTGATTACAGCTTTGTCTCAGTTCAATTTGGGCTAGGATTAATGTACATATACATCAGTGGATGGTTTAAATGTGGAGAGCGGAAGAACAGAAGAGGCAGACAGTGTATTAGATAACTGATGACAACACTAACCTGGCTTTCTAGATACATCTGTCCTGTAACAGATGCAGCCACACGTTCCTGCTGTTGCCGTTGTGCCTGGAGGGAGGTTTGCTGAACAAATAAATTATTCTCCAGCGTCTCCAGTTCTTCCTGCGCAAAACAGAGAAAAAAAGCAGTAACATGTCAAAAATCTAATGGCACAATACATTCATCAACATTTAGGAGGCAATAGAGTGGTATGTTAAATTTAGATAATTTACCTTAAATGAAACCAGTAGCGTGATAACATGGAGGCTGCCATTACTGACCTCTTCTGAAAATGCTAGGTGACAGCTGTCATGCTATTCCAATAGTTTTAGTACCAAACTGGAACAAGCATGCAGATGCTCAATTTTGCCTTGATTGTGACTCTCCAATCTGCATTCTTGCTTCAGGTAAGCAACTGTACTGAGTACTGGCGCCAGAGACAGCCAGATGATCAGGGTTTTTAGAAGAAGGTCAGCAACAGTATTTACTGTATTTCTCAACAACTTGAATCCCCTATAACACAATGAATCAAGAGTCTTTACAAGCACACTTGGAGCATAGGCTGTGTAACCTAACAAGACATATAGAAATCTGAAAAATGGCTGTGAGAATGTTACTTTGACTTATACTCAGAAATGTGATCTACACAGAAATCTCCAATCTCAGTATAAAAAAAGTCCTTTCATTAAAATATACAAAATTATCGTGCAAAGTTAAAGCTGAACTCCAGGCTAAACAAATATTGTTTAGCCTGAAGACAGGTCTAAGCTTACTTTAATCTTGAATTATGTTGTGTATTTCTTCCAGATTTGTGCAGGGATTCAGCATTACACAATTCCTGTACTTTGACTCTGTGCAAGCATTTCCTTTAGTATAGACTGGTCGCAGATGCGCTCTCTTCTTGTGCAGTGTGACTGGTCTTGTATTTACCCCCTCCTGTATTTTCCACAGACAGCCTGTAGTGAGAGAACCTGCTGAGTCCTTCCCACAGATCTTCTCTTTATGCAGTCTTTGTATAAATGAAGCCATATCCCTTGATGAAATGAACATTGAACCAAGAAATGCGTTGCATAGTCCCCGACCATGTCTCAGTTACGGCATTACATTAATTGGTTTCTTTATTTGAATTCCTATACTGTTGTCTGTTATCATTAGATGATACGGAAGGTAGAAATAATGGATCAAGGCACTCTGTGCAGCGCAGGATTCCTGCCGCTAAGGTTCTCGCTGTCACAAGTCAGGCTTCCTTCACACAAACCACCAGCAGCTGCTTTGGGCCCCACAGCCATTAAAGACAGCCCTGCCAGGGCATAAAAGTGGTGATAGGTGAAGGTGCATTTTGGTGCCCTCCCACTGGTACTTCTGTAGCCCCCCACTCCAAGCTCGTACTGCTAGCCACCCCATGCTGGTACTGCTAGCCCACCCCCCAGCCACCCCAAACTGGTACAGCTGTAGCCCCCCACCGCACCCCACACTGGTACAGCTGAAGCCCCCCTGTTCCCCAGACACCCCACACTGGTATTGCTGTAGCCCCAACCCCACCAGCCTCCAGCAACCCCATACTGGTAATACTAGCCCACCCGCCAGCCACCCCAAACTGGTCCTGCTGCAGGTCCCCACCCCTAAAGCCTCTAGCCACCCCACGCTGGTACTGCTACAACAGCTGAGTGATAAGCCAACACCTTGCAGGGTGGTGGATCTTCCGGTCACCCTGGGTGGACCACAGAGCTTACAATCTGGTACAGCCTCAGCCCCCTCCTGTGATATCAGGCTATCAATAATACTGGAGATAACACCATTCCCTCTGTGTTATCATCAACAGTGTTCAGGACTACAAGGTCCAGCAGTGACTGGGCCAGAGGACCCCCCCCCCCTTCACTGATTTCAACAGCCAATGTCACCAGGACCATCAGATCAGAGGGGGAAAAGTGGCACATAGACAGTGGAGGAGATCTGGGCACCCGACACCCTGCCCTACTCGCCCCCCCAACTTCTGCTCGTGCTTGATGATGCTCCCAGGCTTTCACCCTTGCTAGGATCCAGGAAGCCCGGGCAAGGAACAGATGGCTGGTATAGCAGGGAAGGCAGAGCGAGGCCAGCACAGGACACTATAGGGCACTCCGGGGACATTCCGCTACTCCCAGTGTAGATAGACAGGGGAAGGTATTCGGTTCATAGAGGACAGATGGCCAGGGCACCGTGCATGGTGCCCATTTGGCATTGCCCCTGTTCCAGCACTGCACAGAGGGTCCCTGCAGCAGGAGAATGGGAAAAGGAACGGGCGTGGCCATGAGGAGAACTGCATATCATCCATTGTGCAGTGTGTGACAGGGCACAGTGGGCCCCCCCTTTTCCTCGGTGCCTGTGTGCACCTCACACCCTGCGCACATGGATGATACGCTACTGGCCTCATTACTTGTACATAGAGGTATACAATTACTGTATGGAGTACCACAAAAGTCCAATCTTTCAAAATGTTCTTTGTTTAAACACTCTTATTAAGGGATGTAGCTACAAACATATAACTCTGATGTATGTTACCCATACGCTTAGTATGTCATCTATAAAAATATATGTGTAAATATTTTTTCAACTCTATGTTGTATTTCAGATTCATTAACACTATGCAACTAGTAACTTTCATTCACCAATTGTGCCTTCTCCACCAATAAAGCATAAAATACTACAATTACAGTATTTGGAACAAGAAAACAACACAGGGAGATTTAAAAGTTTGGTGATCATTAAGAAATGTCACATACAAACTGCTTGCTCAAGTCTGAACAGGAAGCTTCATTACCATACTTATGTCTTGCCAGTCATTGACTGCATCTTCCTCGTCTCTTGATTCTTCATTCTGCTGAATTACAACATCCTGGCCATGTACATTGTGATTCTCTGCAAGAGTCATCTCTATCTTTGTGCCAGAGCTATGTGATGTATTGGTAACATCAGATCCCATAATGCCTGTTACAGGAACAAGATTTTTGGAAGTTTCTGGTGCCTGCACCAACTGGGAGTTTCCATCAGCCAATTCACTCTCTACTTCAATGAAGCTACCTTATGAAAGAACAAAACAAAAAAAAATTTAAATTTAAAAAAAGATCAATCATCATTTTAATTCTACAGTTCTGTACCGTATGGGACAAAGTACATGCAGTACTTTGTCTCATGTTTCTAAGTGCTTTCTAACTCTAGTTATGAGGTCTGACATGCCCCCTCCCCTCCTGGAGTAGCCAGTTTTAGAACAGCTATGAAAGAGATGGCTAATTCATAGATGCAACTTGTCTCAACTGTGAACACTTTCCTGAGAAAAGCACTGGCAAAAGGATGCAGAGGCTGACACCATCCCTTTTCTCTGGATTCTTCTTACTGTTGCTTGTCTCGGAAAAGTGCAAGAAAAGCCAAGAAAAAGCTGCAGTTATGAACCAGTCTCCTTCATAGCTGTTGTCAGATCAGCTACAGGAGGAGGGGACGGGGCAGGTCGGACCTGATACCTAGGGTTAGAAAGCACATCAAAAAACATGGAGAAACATTGCTTTTTATTTTTATTAACAAAACTCAAGACTAATTGGTCGTTTGGACATGCGTTTGTCCCCTACAGAATGTAATGTTCCTTAACGTAAAATCTTCCCATATAGAACAGTTACTAATTATCACTAAACAGCAAAAAACAAATTCATACACAATCAGACAAGCAGTAAAAATGCCAATAAAGGCAATGACTACTTACCATCAGAATCTGAATCCACTTCTTTTTCTATGTCTGACTCTCCTTCAGTAACAGGAATACTTTCTGGAGTCATAGGCATATAAGAATTGTCTGGAATATTTTTGGAAGAAGGCTGCTGACTGCTGGAACCCTCCACTTTGGACTCTATGACATTTTGTTCTTGTAGGACCACATCCAGTGGACTGTGGCCTTCAGTGTTCACTTCAGTTGATGGCTTGTTGGTTGTAGAAAACAGCCCTGATGTAGACAACACAGGTTCGTGGATGCTACTTGTTACTTGACCAGCTGATGGCCGAAGATTTATTTCACTTTCACTGCTAGCTGTATGAACATTAGGTTGGCTATGTTTTTTTATTTTAACGGTCTCTGCTTCAGAAGGAATGAAGATAGCATTTTCTAAATTTTTAGATGCATCTAGTTGGTGGCTTTCCAATGCCAGAGAAGGCTTCATAGGAGAGAATGCACCAAGACTACTTGAAAGATTTGTCAAAGGTGTGCCTTGTGAATGAAAGAGATTTCTCTTTACTGCATGTGCACTGAAATCTACTCTTTCTATTCGAGATCCAACCAATTTTTGAAGTGGTTCATTTTGTTTCAGGTTAGGTACCAAATTAGGTGGCGATTTCTCATTCATAGTACTTATATTATTCTGGACAGGATTTGGTGACAATTCATCATTTGCTACAGGTATGATAGGGTTTCTTTGTGCTCCATACTGAGTGACCAGAGAAGCATCCTCCTCATCTGAACTACTGATAATCAGTACTTTAGCTCTCGGCTGTTCATGATCTTCATCAATTATCTCAACAGACCTCTTCTTGTTCACCATTTCTTCATCCTCAGTAAGAGCTTGTTGAATTGCACGTAGGGTCCTTGGTGAGACACTGCCATCTATTTTACAGACAGGCTCAGAAGGGTCATTTTTTGTGACCTTACTATCATGAACTTCCTCATCAGAGCTATTTTCTAACATTGCCTCTTGGATAGCAAACAGTGTCCTTGGGGAGGGTGGTGCAACTTCTGTAACAGGTTCCTTAGTTTTCTTCGATTTATGAGCAGATGCCAACTTAAAATCAAGGAATGTTTTTGGAGTTGTATCATTTGAACTAGAGGGTGTTGCTCCTTCTGTATTAGCCTCTTTTTTATCTTTAGTCTTTGACTGAATCCCTAAAATTAGAAAGGCATATGAAAATCAAGTATTAACGAAAGCACTTCCTTTTAATATTGTACATTTATTAACCTTTTTAGGACCTAGGACCAACAGCAGTTGTTTCAACAAAGATCGTCGGGAATAAGTATTTAAGCATTAGTGCTTGTTAATATGTATACAAAAACTTTAAAATATAGTATAAGCTGCATGTCACGAAAAGCAATTCACAGTCTATCTATATTATTTAAAAGTCATTCCTAGTTAATTCCTGACTGCCCCTAATTTTCGCCACTAGCCCTAAGTAATCCCCTCTCTTCTGGCTCTGCTTAGTTTGTTTTGCCAGTTAAAATTAAAGGATTTTTTGTTTTTGACAGTGTGAATACACATACAAAAAAAAAATTATATATATATATATATATATATATATATATATATATATATATATATATATATATATATATATATATATATATCATATATCAATGGCATGCATGCTTCCTAAGCAGCACTGTTGACTGGAACTGTCCAGAGAGGTATGTCAGACTGCTTAAGACCCAGAACACGGCCCTCTGTTGAGCAGAGGTCAGTGTGCAGCTAGAAAAAGGGTGTTTTCACCCCTTGCTGCAGCAAAAAGAAAATTACAAATAGAAAAAAAAAAAAAACAGCCATTGTATTACTGCATCATAGTAATAATATCAGAGGATTCAGTTGAGCTTTAACAAAATAGTGCTGTGCATTCATGAAGAAAATAGTCTCATATGATATTGTACATCTGGTGGCAATTCATAGGCATTTTTGCTCTGTTTACATATACCTTTAATTAGAATATAATGAGAAGAGTCTTCTGAGACCAGACGGTTAGATTCAACCTCTCTCATAAATCCCCCTTCTGTCTCAAACTGAGCACGGACCTCTCCCACGTGCTGCTGGCTCATCTCTTTCCGCACATTATGGAGGCACCTGTTCAAATTGTTTTTCTTCAGCAGTCCTTTCAGCTGATACTGGGAGAAATCATCAGAGCCCTTCAAAAGAGCACATCAGTGTCATCATCTTACAAGGTCAACTGTATGTTTTAACACTTCCATTTTAGGCTTAATATTTGTAGAAATGAAATCCGTAACACTGCAAAAAAGATGAAATAGAAATAATGCTGCCCAGATTGGTCAATGAAGCCCCTGAACTAGAAATCTATGCAGTATATGGAGACACTGACCCACATCCTTACCTGCAATCTGCCTGTGTCCAATTGCCATGCCCAACCTACACAGCAACCCTCACTAAACCCCATCTGGACTGCTGAAGCCATTTCAAACAAGAATTAGAAGAGCTTCTCATGACAGGAACTGCTACCAAGTCCCAGTAAATATAAGTGACTGCTAGAGAGTGCTACAAAGTTACCAGAGATTCTGACTGTTATTACATCTTGAAAGCAGATTTCCAGCTTTTAGTGAAGTTTAAATAGTTTGTTTATTACCTTCTCTACTAGATATGCCTGCTGTGTGAGCTGTATAAACTGTATGTAGCTTCAGCTACCAAGAAAACAACTTGATCCAGCTCCAATTTGCTGTGGCAAAACAGATGGCAACTGAGGAAATCTGCAATCAGGTTTTAGGAGCCCTTTATGTGGGCTGCAGAGATAAAAGGCAATATTTACCTCTGTCCAACCCAGGATCTCCTGGACTACCTGCAACAGAGTGGGTGATCTAGTACCACCTTATCGATTGAAGTAAGCGATTATAGTAGTGTTGTCAGAGAAGACCTGAACTTCATGTTTTATGACAATAGCCTGGAAGGTTAACAAGGCTTCTTTTACTGCCATCAGTTTCCTTAAGTTGAAAGAGGCCTGGACTACATCTAGAGAACAAGCCCCTTGACCATGATACTCCTGCGCATACGTTTCCCAATGCCATGAGCTGGTGTCTGTCCGGTTCTTTATTGGGCACCAACTCCTGCTGGTTCCTAAGGTTAGCAGAACCAGCAGAGAATGGCTACTATACACAGTAAAATGTTGGTATATTAAAATATATTGGCAACGCAAATTGCGATCTTCATGTCATTAAGCTCATAAGTACCAGAGTATAGTTTATTACAAATTTTTGGCACATACTATTGCGATTTTTAATTTTTACTTCATCATTAACCGCTTGCTCTCATAAGGATTTACCCCCCTTCCTGACCAGGCCATTTTTTGAGTTACGGCACTGCGCGGTCATGCAACGCTGCACCCAAATGACATTCACATCCTTTTTTTCCCACAAATTGAGCTTTCTTTTTGTGGTATTTAATCACTACTGCGTTTTATATTTTTTGCTAAACAAACTAAAAAAGACAAAAAAAAAAATAAAAAAAAAAGTTTTTCTTAGTTTCTGTTCTAAAATTTGGTAAATAAGTAATTTTTCGCCTTCACTGATGTGTACTGGTGAGGCTGCACTGATGGGCACTGATAGGTGGCACTGATGGGTACTGACAGGCATGATTGATGGGCACTGGTGGATACTGATAGACTGCACTGATGAGCAGACACTGCTAGGCGGCATTGATGTGCATTGACAGGCATCACTGATGGGCACTGAAAGGCAGCAATGATATGTGGCACTGATGGGCATGGGCACTGATGAGGAGACACTGCTAGACAGCACTGATGGGCATTGACAGGCATCACTGATGGGCACTGAAAGGCAGCAATATGTGGCACTGATAGGCAGCAGTGATAGGCACTGATTGACTGCACTGATGGGCATTGACAGGCATCACTGATGGGCACGATATGTGGCACTGATAGGCAGCACTGATGATCAGGGCACTGATGATCAGAGCCCTGATCAGTGTAGATGTCCCTGCTTACCGGCTCAGCGTGAGGAGAGGACTGCCGATAACCGGCATTTCCCGTTTACATGTGATTGGACACAGCTGATGACATGGTAGAGCTTACGTCATCAGCTCTTTACCAGAATCAGTGATCCGCCGTGTCCTAGGGACACAGTGCACCACTGATCGCCATATCGCTAGAGTGGGAGGACGTCATATCCCAGAACAAGAGAGCTCCGACCCTTCATTTCCTTATATGGCGGGCAGAAGGCGGTTAAACAACATTTATATTATACTGTACACACGCTTACAATTTAATTTACAGTGTATTGCAGCTTATGCAGTATTTTACAAGAGCAACCGATATAACTATTATCAAATTTGGAATTCACTGCTCACAAGACTAAATTGAGGACACTGGGCCAGGTTCTAGATACCAGAAGGGGCTCATTGTCTACCCCACACACTGCACATGTCCAAATAAAAAAAAAAAGCTGACTGCGCTGACAATCAGCATTTAAGTCTTGGGGGTGCAGCTGGATTCCTTTTCTTTTTCTTTTCTGTAATGACACCTTGACTATGTTGCACAGTGTATGGCCAACAATATTCCCTACATGCTGACAAAAGGTGAAGGCTCTGTGGAGCTCCGTAGTAGTTTATTGAATCTTCCTGTCAGTATATCTGCTTGCCTGTACATCCCATACGGGCAAGCAGGTATACTGACAGATCTGCAGGAGACCTGCATGGCACCAGCGTTCTACTGATCGCTGGTGCAATGCTTTACAGGCTCCTGCAACCATGACAATAGATATTGTTCGTTGCATATGACATAATGTTAACCTGTATTGATCAAACTTGTCATTATACCTCTGGCATGGCTTCAAACAATGTCCTTCTTCGCTTGGTGAACTCCTTCATGTCAGTCAGGATTTCATGTTTCACTTCAGGAGGAAGGCTGTTAAAATCCTCAGAGTCTACATCCACTGAATGAGGGTCAGCAAAAAATTCTTCCTAATTAATTAGAAAGAAAAAAAATACCCATCACTTGGTAAAGTTGACTGGTGTCAAACCACATAGCACCATTAATAAAGAAAGAGTACTTTAATTACATTGACAATTACTAGGTGCCTTGTAACAAATAATATTGTACCCAAGCAGTCACAGTCTAGTGTTAAATTGAGAAGTCGATAGGAGCAGTTCACAAATGGAATTCATAATCATTTGAAGTTATTTTATTTTATTTTTTTTTAAGTTGTATAACTGCATGTTGCTTGTAAAAGCCTGTGTAATTTAGGCTTTATAATTTGAATGTTCTGTGATGTAGGGAAACATCAGACGTGATATTTGAACCACATTTTTACCATAACTTTTTATGCATGCGCTGTGGATAACAACTTGGTCCTTGCATGCAGTGAATGTTTTCTCCGCCATAAGACGGAAGGAGTCCCTGCCTATGGCACACCTATGAAAAGAGTCAGATATGACAGAAAAGACACCCATCTGGGCTTATCCATAAGCTTATTGCTTGTAAATGGCAACATCAAATTTACAGTAATTCAAACACTAGGGATGAGCATTATCGGCCTGATTTCAAGAAGCTTTAGAAAGTCCACTAAAGCAAAAAAAAAAAAAAACAAAAAAACAAAAAAAAAAAAAAAAAAAACCACCACAAACAAACCTGAAGAATTCGCTTCTGGTCCATTCTCTCCTCCCATTCTCTCTCTTCTTCCTCTTCAGAACTAAAGATAAAGCAAGTAAAACAAGATATATTGAATATGCCTGTTTAAAAGATGTGCAGAAAATGTTTAATGATGTGAAGACATTTACAAAATGTGTACTAATGAACACAGAATGCACAATTTAGAGATGTTCTATAAAGTTCAGTATTTGCTGAACCAACAGACATTTGAGCTGGCCGCTGCTCTTGTGCAAGGAAAATAAGGGATATATAGGAAGGAAGGATTTGCTCGTTAGAACAATCAATCCTGAAATATGATAAAATTGCATGAACCAGCCATTCTAAACTAGGGTTCTGTGAGCTGTAGCTGACTGACCTCCCATCTGATGGTACTAGCATAATTCCAAAGCCAATGCCACTTGGAAGGGCCAGCAACATAACACCAAATGTCTTTTTACCTGTCTGTAAGGGTGGCATTCTGATCACCATTCTAAGGGGGGAGCATGCTTTCTATAGACCACTAATATCAGGGCCATTTTTCCAATTAATGCCCAATCAATTATTTGGCACAGGTTTCCCTAGACCTTAAAATTATTACATGAGTTCCACTGGAGTAAAAAAAGTTGAGAAAGGCTGGTATAAACAGTGTTCCATAGTTTTACAGAGTACATTGAAAGTGCACTTCTAACTTCTAAAAATTTTCACATGCTAAATGTTTGTATATTTTCTTAATAAGATGCTAAATTCAGATGATGAGTTTTACAATGTACCTATTTTTCTCATTCTCTTCTAAGGGGGCTAGAGCATAAATATCCTCCTCTTCTTTTCTTCTTATATGAGAAAGACTTGGAAACTCCTCATTGCTGGAAAAAATCAAAGTGAGATTACTGTATGCTGACATTCACATTGGATGACTGGCTGCAACAGTATGAGATGAGTGTAAGATGCAAACCTTTGCTTGTTTCCGGACAAAGCTGCTTTAATGGCTTGTCTTTTCAAGAAGGTCTTTAGCAACCTCTCATTTGTTTTCTTGGCTTCAGTGGCTGCAAAATCCTTCTTCTGCCTTCTCTTTGCCTGAAAGGAGAATGTAAAATGTGATTATCAAATAGATCTGCACAAACTGTTGGCACTATATAAATCCTGTATAAAAGTAAGAATATGAACAGGTTCAATTTATTAGGAAGTAAAGCCTATAGCCATATAGTCTCAAATGACTTATCTCTCCCTCTAGTATAGTCACAGCCTTTTCAGATAGGTAAAGTCCTTCACATTTTCCAAGGTCATGTTAGGAAAAAAGTGCACTCTCTCATTCTGGTATCTAGTATTGACATAAAGGAATATCCACGGTGACAATGAGTGGCTGACAGAGCGGAATAGATAGCTAATAAGTTATATCAATATTGCCATGTTATAGGTGAACATTTTCAAGTTGGGCTTTGTTATTACACAGGAAAGTAGATATTAACTGGCAGACAGTCCCTGAATGGGACTGGCAACATGAGCATGCAACAAATAAATAATAAAGTGGGGGGGCAGAGCCTGAGAGGGATTCACAGACAGTCAGCCTGCTATTGGCTACAGAATGCAACCACTGCAACAGCAAACTTAATGGGGACACAGTAGGGTTTAAAACTAGTTCATTCAGAATTTCCTGCAGTTCTGCATGGAAACCAATCAGCTTCCAGGTTGTATTGCTAAAGCTTAATTGAATAAGCTGAGGTTAGAAGCTGATTGGCTACCATCCACAGGTGCATGAGATTCTGAGTGAATCAGCTTTAGTAAATCTCCCCCAGTGTCTCAGTTTCCCCATCAGGATCCACTCATTGCATAGTCAATGGTTGCTAGGGGACTGTCGGCTGTGAAGCTGACGCTGTCATTAACAACCAGTGATAGGGAGGGGGTAGTGGCGGCAAATATTCTATTCTGCTACACAGCATACAGGGACATGCAAAGTGCCAAGTTAGAGTTGTTCCTAATTACCTCCATTTTTGTTAGTTATGAGTTGGAGGTAATTATTCTTGAATTTGGTGCAGTACCTACCTGAACCTGCCACACAATATTAAAAGCTACCAAAAACAGGCAAGGATTTTTGAATCTGGCGCAGGGCCATTTTATAGTGCCATAGAGCTAGCGAACTGTTTATATCATTCCCTGAATGTGTCCATCTACATGGGAACATTTAGTGCCGTTTACTAGAGCAGCAGAGAGCAAAGGTGTAAAACAGAAATGCCCAATTCCCTCATTCTGGGAAGAGTATTTTGGCATTTTTTTTTTTATTTACATGCCTGAAAGTGCAAGCATGCAAATTCATTCTAGTGGTTAGAATTGTAGTCACTAGAATGAAATTATGCACATACCCTGATAGACTCTCTATGCGAATAAATGTGAGTACTTGACACACCATTGCAGACATTTATTGTGATTGTTCTAGTTAGAATGAGTTAGAATATGGAAAGAAGTCACATGATGACCTAAAGGCAGGGAATAAAAGCTCATTTTGTTTGAGGAGATAGGAAAATAATATTACTTACCAAAGTCTGTTTCTTCAGAAGAGGGGCTTCACCATCAAATACAAAAATAGGGCGTATTCTGAAAAACAGCAACTTGCAAAGTCGATGGAATAAGGTCAACAGATGAGCATTTTGGATGGCATTACCTTGGCGGTCTCTAGCTCCTTTCACTGCTTGATTCAGCCAAATACTTATATCTTACTCTATGGTTAAGTTAACATTTTTTGAACTGTAAATATATATCAAAATTCATATATATGCATTTACTAGAATCAACAACCTCCCTATAATTTTAGTAAGCATACATTATTATTATTATTCAGGATTTATATAGCGCCAACAGTTTGCTCAGCGCTTTACAATATAACGGGAGACAATACAGTAACAATACAGTTTAATACAAGAGGGAGTTGAGGGCCTTGCTCCTTGGAGCTTACAATCTAGGAGGGAGGGGCTAGTGGTACAAAAGGTAGTAACTGTGGGGGATGGACTAGTTGGAAGAGTAGAAGATTCCATTGTTAGCTGAGGGAGGATAGGCTTCCCTGAAGAGATAGGTTTTCAGAGATTGCCTAAAAGTGAGCAGAGTAGGCGATAGTCTGATAAATTGGGGTACAGAGTTCCAGAGGATGGCGGAAGCTCTGGATAAGTCCTGGAGACGAGCATGGGAGGAGGAGACAAGGGAGCTAGAGAGTAGGAGGTCTTGCGAGGAGCAGAGAGTACGGTTTGGGTGATATTTAGAGACAAGATCGGTGATGTAATTTGGGGTAGTTATAAATGGCTTTATACATTATTGTTAGAATTTTATCCGTTGGGCAATGGGAAGCCAGTGGAGGGATTGGCAGAGAGGGGTGGCAGATACAGAACAGTTAGTAAGGTGGATGGGTCTGGCAGCAGCATTCATGATAGACTGAAGGGGGGATAGCCTGTGATGAGGTAAGCCAATGAGGAGGGAGTTACAATAGTCAAGGTGAGATACAACAAGGGAGTGAATAAGTTGCTTAGTGGTTTCCGAGGTTAGGAACGGTCGTATCTTGGAGATGTTGCGGAGGTGAAGTCTACAAGATTTGGACAATGATTTGGGGCTGAAAGGACAGATGGGAGTCTAGGGTTACATCTAGTATCCTGGCATGAGGGGAGGGACTGATGATTGTGTTATTGATCTTGATGGAGAAGTTAGGGGAGGGGGCACGGGCTGGAGGGAATACTAAGAGCTCAGTTTTGGAAAGATTGAGTTTGAGGAAGTGGAGTGACATCCATGCTGATAAGTCACTTAGTAGGTTAGTAATGCGAGTAGAGACTGAAGGGGTGAGGTGAGGGGTAGAAAGATAGATTTGTGTGTCATCAGCATAGAGATGGTACTTAAAGCCGTGGGAGTTTATCAAGTGACCAAGAGAGGAGGTGCAGATGGAGAAGAGAAGGGTTCAAGGACAGAACCTTGAGGGACCCCTACAGAAAGAGGGAGTAAAGAGGAGGAGGCAGCATTATAGGTAACACTGAAGGAGCGCTGTGATAGGTAGGAGGAGAACCAGGAGAGAACAGAGTCTCTGAGGCCAAGAGAGTGGAGTTTTTTTGAGGAGGATGGGATGGTCAACCGTATCAAAAGCCGCAGAGAGGTCAAGTAGTAAGAGTATGGAGTAGTGGCCATTGGTTTTAGCAGTTAGTAGATCATTCGTGAGTTTTAGTAGGGCAGTTTCAGTGGAGTGTAGTGAGCGAAAGCCAGACTGTAAAGGATCAAGAAGATTGTTGTCGGTGAGGTGGGAGCTCAGGCGATTGTGGACTAAGCGTTCTAGGAGTTTAGAGGTAAATGGCAGCAGGCAGATGGGTCTTAAGTTGTTCAGGTCGGTGGGGTCCAGGGAGGGCTTTTTAAGTATGGGAGTGATGTGCGCATGCATGCTACATTGTGTTTTCATATGTTAATAGGAGCTCTTGTTTCTCTTTGTGATGTCACAGCCCTCTCTTTCTCTCTCTGGTGGCAAAAAGTACATATGCCGGGACTGAGCAGCGTGACTATTATTTTGCAGGATTTATATAGCGCCAATAGTTTGCTTAGCTCTTTACAATATAAAAGGGAGACAATACAGCAACGATACAATTCAATACAAGAGGGTTAGGAGGGCCCTGCTCCTTGGAGCTTACTCCCTGGAGATGTGTCCATGACAATCTGGGCTCACAGGAAGCGGACTGAATGATACCCCTGCAAAACCAGCGGCAGCAGCAGCAGCACTATGGCCTCCTGCACACAAGCAATTACCTGCAGATACTGGAATACAGCAGCAAGTATCAGGGGATTCTTGCAGCTGGGATGAGAGGTGTATGCAAATACCGGTCGAAACTCATCCTATACAAAAATAATGACAGGTTTACAGCAGTCATCATTGTTCGCATGCAGTTGCACACCAAGCAGTACCTGCAGTTAGGGACAGATATCAAAGCCTAAGCACATCTGACTGCATCCAGGCTCAGACATCTGTCCCAAACTGAAGGTGACCACTTGGTGTGCAGCTACATGTGAACAGATATGGCTGTTGTCAGTCTGTCATTACTTTGTACAGGCTGAGCTCCAATTCAAATACACCTGTCATTCCAGCTACAAGAATCCGCTGATTGTTGCTGTTGGAATCTGGTGTCTGCAGGCAATCACATGTGAGAAGAAGGCCTAATGAGTGATGTGTCTTCAGGTGACAGAGTCTAGGGGATTATAACAGTGAAAGCAATTTTGAATTCTGGAGGCTTTAACAAGAACCTAGCATCATATATACTTTTTCAGGGTAAGTGTATGCATGCTACGTAATGTGTATTTCTCACAGAGATCACAGTACCCCCCGAGTATTCCTTCATCTGCGATTCTCTATAGAAGTACAGCGCCATCATTGTTCTAAAATAGCCGGGTTCAGCATCTACTTCTTGGATTAAGATGCTCAGCAATGTAAATCTAGGTAACTGGGCAGTCCTTGGCTTTGAAACACATCAGATCCTCCTACAGCCTCACTTGTGACATGCTACAAATTTGTTGCAATCAAATTACTTAAAGGCGTATGCAGCAGATGTGGCTCTCGGGTGGGGAAATATAGCAGATTTGTACATCACAAGGCCTACAGTAGTTGGATTTTATTTTACCAACTAAAAGGAGCAAATTAGAATTCCCACGAAAAACTGTAATATATGTACAGCACTATATAAAAAGGTAACTTTAACCAATATAAACAAATTAAAATTACAAACAAAGTACCTTTTTTGCCCATAAGTACACACTTTCATTGTCTCCATTAATACCTGATCTGCTGACTGGTATTTGAAAGCTGAGCTCTTCAATTCCCTAGGCAAACTTAAGATAATTGAGGCGAGCCACCCCTTGCTCCTTCTTCGTTATGCCCCCCGGTAACCTGAGTAATAGGAATCCCTGTGTTGTTAGTGATCCAATCACCTGGAAACAGTTGTCCATGGTCATGCTAGTACTGTTGTATATGTTCAGATATATGTTTCTATACTGCCACTCCTGAGAGTAATATTGTAGTCATGCTCCACTTTGATAGCCATTTTATGGCTGAATGCACCGTTTTGTCCTTTCTACTTTTTTTCTTATGAGATTTCCATATTTCATGCGGTTGTTCTGTGAAGGCTGTTATGCCTCAACTTGTGTTTTGTATGCTATTTTTTTTTTAAATAAATATTAAAAAATAAAATTACCTGATCTGTAGAGACACACAAGACACACACATGAAATAGTAAACAAGTTCTTTTTGTCAAGGATACCGACAGCAAGGATTTTCCCTTCTAATGTCTCTGGATTTATCGGTCTTCCAGAACATTCAAGCAGCTTCCAGAGTCCTTGAACTCCCATACTTGCTGACTACAAAAAATTTTTGCCTGCAAAAAAATAATATATAACAAAGCAAAGATATCAGCAAATGTTTGCATTGAAATTTTAGATTTTTAAATAAAATACTTGTTTTCATCCTTTTTTGCAACCTGGGCTTACTGTGAACCATGCCTGCATAATGTGTGCTAAAATGGCAACTTGTAGATTCCAACAGAAGCCCATGTGCCAAAAGGCAACACAGAAAATACAATTGGGAGACAGGGAAAGATTCGTCATCCTACAGCATGAAGCGCCTACACAAGGACCTTTATGGCAGGATCACCAGGTATTATTTTAAATGAAGGCTGCAGATTTAAAAAGAATTAAAAAAAAAATGAACATCTTAACGTTTATAAGAGATTTTAGTGAGTTGGATTACACATACTTTGAAGATGATCCTTTGATTCTCGAGACAGAGTAGGATTTGTGCATGCAGAATATGTTCATATACCTGCATAGAACTCCACTCTGACAATCAGTTGTGCTCTACAAGTATGTACCTGTTGTCTCTGTTCCTCACTACCAGCACACTACACTCAACAATCATCTCTACTCTATTAACCTACCAGTTCTGGAGTGGGCACACTTTTGGTAGTCAGGAATAAGATTTAAAAAAAACCCTCTACCTTCATAATTCATAATAAAGTCAGAACTCCGGCCATAATTAATATGAAAAAAAAAATGACCTCCTTCAGCTGATGCGAATTATACTAAGGAATGTTGAAAACAGAGTAATACCTTAAAGTATTCCTAAACCCAGGACCCTGCATTCACTATATCTGGTCTCCCACAGTACACAGAACATGGAAATGCAATTATTTTAGAAAATATAAACTGCTAAGTACCTTTTTTCTCAACAGCAGTTAGAGCAGTCTCGTGACTTCTGTCAGTGCCCAGCTGAGAACTGGTTAAAGCTTGTAGGAGGCGTTTTCACTCTGCTCTGACTGTCCTATGAGGTTGCAAAACCTCTGACCCTTTGTCTGCTCAGTGCCAATTGGCCCTGTGCTGATTACATGCACTCTCCCAAAGGAAAATAAAAAATCTTCAGAAATGCACATTAAACAGAGCATGTGCAGACTGACTCCTAGAGCTTTGTACTATCAGATGATGGATTGGGGACAGTAGAAGAAGGGGAGGATCATAGAAGACAGGATCAAACAGCATTTTTCACACAATGCAGAGGATGAACCCCTTTCCACAGTGAGTATGACCTGCATGCTTTACTGCATATACAGACTGATTTTACTGTTGTGGGTTTAGTAACACTTTAATTCAGGATCTCAAAGCAGCTGACTGTCCATTCTTTTACTCTTCAACATCAGAGTCAGCAGACACTCCTGCACCACTGTGTACAATGCAGGACCAGTGGTGGCCAATGCTCCTGCACAGTAAAAGATGGTGTTGGAGACCAACAAGAAAAGCAATTTCAGCAAACTAATTGTCAGAACTAGAAACAATGAGGAAAATTGCAGAACCGTGAATTATGGCAAGAATAATTCTGTATTTCAGCAACCCCTGGAGAAACAAGAAATATATCCTGCTCTAATTGGGACTGGGGCTTCTTTTACTTTTTGCCTGTGGTTAGGACTGACGACAAAAACAAAACAATATAATGCCCAGCCTTTAAAAAGATTGATTTGATGTCTCAGATAGTACCCTTCACCCATGCAGAACCTGGTTGAACACTGTTATCACTGTGCACAGAACACTGAGCCAAAGAGAAGCCATTTATGCTTCGATATAACATCATATCAAATAAGAAGTCAATACAGCTACACAGGCAAAGCAAGATAATCAGATGATGGTGAAAAAGATTTAAAGTGTTATTAAACCCTGACTTACCTTTTCTGCTTCTTCTTACAAAGCGTTTCTTCTTTCTAAAGCCAGTTCAAAGATGCCTGCTGCAGCTTTTCTCTTCTGGGGTGGCTCTGCTGCATCATGGAGTCCTATAGAGCCACTCATACATGGGAGAGAAACTGCAAGCAGGTTGCCTGTGTCGCCATGTGCAGGCAGCAACAGAGGACTAATACGGGGCATGCAGGTTTATTGGCACTTAGACTTATGGGACATGTAGTCCCAAGGAGGGGGATCATGGGATGTACTCTGCTCTCATCATTGCACACGACCCGACAAACATTTAAGAAAAGCAGCACTGAGCAAGCTTAAGCATGCACTAGTGTGCATATCTTCTGCCATTTCCCCCCCCAAGTAAAAAAAAAGCCCAAACCTTAAAGGCAAAGGGTTATGCAGGCCAAACATGAGTCAAATTCTGAAAGAATTGTAACTAAGAACTTTTGTATGAATTTCGCACCATTAGTGGGCCGCATCATGGGCCGATTTACATGCGGCCATCAAATTTGGGTGTTTGGGCATGTTGGAAATGTTTTGTAAAACGAACACATTTCCAATCAAATATGGGAAAATCATGTGAGAAATGTAATCGAAAAAGAAATGAGCGTGAGCTGTGACCTGGAAAGAAGATTCCCAGCCACAAATGTTCTTTTCTGTAGCAACACAAGGTGAAATTGAAGGCTTGGTTGGTCAAATTTTGAAATCAATGGTGGCACCATCGGATTACAAAAACACACAAAACTTCCAATTTTCTAAAAACAATTTATTCAGAATTCGACCCATATATGGCCTGCATTAGTTAACAATTACAGTTGGGGAGCAGATGAACAGTGTTTTTACTGCCCCCCAAAGGCAGCTGTATGGGGGTGTACAAGCCTTACAAGATGCAATTACTAGTGCACCTTTATGCAGACCATACATGAGTATGGGTTAGTGCGTTTTGTTATTCGATGGTGACACCATTGATTTCAAAATTCAACCAATCAAGCCTTCAATTTCACCTCGTTGCTAAAGAAAAGAATTTCTGTGGCAGGGAATCTTCTTTTCTTTCCAGGTCACAGCACATACTAATTTCGTTTCTGATTAGATTTCTCGCACAATTCTCCAATCACTGATTAGAAATTCATTTTTCGAAAAATTTTCAACATGCCCAAGCACTCAAATTTGATGAATAATAATAATATTCAGCCAATGCTGCAACCCACTAATGGTACAAAATTTGAACAAAAATTCTAAGTTCCAATTTTCAAAAGAAAATTTGTTCGAATTTCAACCCATGTATGGCCTGCATTAGGCTTGCTCTGTGCCGCTTCCCTAAACGTTATTTCAGGGTGTGGCAAAAATGATCCCCATCTATCTTGTTCGTCCCGTGATACCAACCACCGAAGGTGACCCATTCAAGTGAACAGGGCTGCACAGCAACTGCCCCACACACGGCTGAGGCGTGGTGGTGTGGACTTAGGGATCAAAACATAACACTTGTCAAACACCCTCTGAAAAGTCACCTGACACAGATTGCACTTCAGAGGGCTATTACATGTATAATAATAATAAATGAGAACTCTGGGAAACTCTTACAGAGGCAAAGCTTCACACTGGATTGCTGCTCAGATCTGGAAGAAATACACAAATCACACCAAGTGTCAAGTCACAATACACATCCCTTTTATCTAGACAATATTTATTTTAGAATTCAGCTCTGAATAAACAAAGGGAGAGGAATCTTCCCTGTACGGATGTCATTCAGTACACAGTGATCCAGTGCCATTGTTAGTTAAGCCATTCCTTCCAGCACACCAACGAAGGGGAAATGTTCCCAGCAGAGTATTGACCACTTGTATAGACAGTATATGATGATCTCACACCCCATGGGGCTCTTACCCCGGACTGCCGGTCTCTTCAATACAGATGAGCTCCTCAATATACAGCGCTGGCCATCACTCACCGGCTCCACCCACCACGCATCAACACAAACCCTGCCACGCCCAGCACTTCCTGCACAGCGCTTTCTCATTAGCTTACAAGTGACACTTTCAGGCGCGAAGGCTTGTGGGAATTGTAGTCCTGTTCCGAACGAAAAGCAAGCACCGATGTGGATTGGGGGACTACGATTCCCACAAGTGGTGGTTGTGTTTAAAGTGCTCGGCACACTAGTATGGGGCCGCTGGAGGAATAGAGGGCTGTACTTAGTGATCAGTGTGGGGGTGTTGCAGTCTGGGTCCTCTGCTTTTCTTGTAGTTTCCTGCGGGTGACATGTTCCCGGGTCTTGGCAGGCTCCCCTGATCCGTTAATGATTCATGTATAAGACTGCATACACCTGCACAGGAGGAACTAGAGCTGACATGATTCTCTCATTACACCCTATTACAGGAGGACACATAGGAGGCTGATGTCATGGCGGAGTCAGTGAGAATACTGAGTGGAGGCTTGTCTACTGAGCTGGAGGCTGCTGGATTCCTCATCCAGGTATCTGATCACTGTGTGCTCTCCATACACAGCACTTCTAATCACAGCTGCACACCTTACTGCACTGGGGGAGGGGCATTCAACTCATACAGACAACTATTGATTCATGTTAAGATGGCCATACATGCTACAATCTCTGCTCATACAATTTCTGTACAATTGCATTTGCCTCTACCAGCAAATAGGTAGTGCAAGGATCTTCATCACCATCTGGTTTATATCCAGCCTGGCAGACCATAATGCTTCCTTCACACAGGCGTACTTAAAGCAGAGCTCTGCCCCAAAGGGGAAGTTCCACTTTAAGGCCTCGTCCCCCACTCCCTGTTAAGGATTGGAACCTTTTGGAGCGGGTACCCAATCTTGACAGATACCTGCTCCCATTTCTGCTGCGATCACCTAGGCCAGAGGTCTCCAAATTGCGGCCCAGGGGACTGATTTATTTTTAAGGCTTAACGATTTTTCATTCATGTATTTTCTGCTTTAACCTCTTGGCACCGGTCGAACGCAAATGTGCAGCCTTCCGGCGTCTGGGCCTTGACGCCGAGCGGCCGCACATTTGCATTCAATTAAGAAAAACCTATGTGCTGAGAGCGCACGCCCTGCGAGCTCCCAGCACACATGTCCTGTACCCATGGAAAGGTCCCGATCTCCTCTTTCGATCGAGACCTTTCCCAATCATGTAAAAACTGTGACAGCGAATAACAGCAATCACATAACCCTAAAACCCCGCCCCGCCTCCCGACCGACATCCTTAAAGGGCTGGAAGGCGCTGGTGCCAAGGGTTAAGGTAAAAACACTTCTGTGCTGTAGGACTCCCCCCCCCCCCCCCCCCCCCCACCTTATACTTGAGCCCAATCTTGATCCAGCGCTGTGCCTGAGAGCAGCAGCTCTCTCCTTCCTTACAGGGCAGATTGATAGCAACAAGCTGCACTGTCTGAGTCAATGTATGCCTCAATAGGAATCAATTTCTTGTGGTGGCACACCAAGAAGAGAGAGTGGACAACGCTGGTGTGGGACCTGAGACGTGGAGGTTCAGGGTTGCTCTGTGCAATTCTATTGCACAGAGCAGATAAATATAACATGTTTGTTATCTTACAGTTTATTCCCTGAAGTACTATTTGCAGGATTGCTCAGCCAGAAGCACAGTTGCCAGCAGTTTGTATTTACTACAGATATTTATATAGTGCCAACAATGTACAGGGTGCTTTGCTATCAGTCCTTGTCTTATGTCACATACTAGGTCCAGTTAACCTAACTTGTCTGTGGGGTGTGGGAGGAAGCCTAGGCAAGTGCAGGGAGATCTTGTAAACTCCATGAAGTCCTGGTTGCGATTTGAACCAGTTTGGCTAAGAAGAAGTGCCAATCATGATGTGACTGTGCTGGATAAGCACACATGGCTAGTTTACTCTTACCAGGCTATTAAAAGCTGATTCAATAGGAATACTGTACTTTGGGGCATGAACTTTCCCTTGAATATCCCTCGCATAAATGGGACAGCCCCCTTTTTTTTTTTTTTTTAACAGGGCTCATGTTGCATTTGGAAAGTGCTTTAATAAAGTTATATTTATATCACCTGACTTGAAATGTGTAAAACTGTGAAAAATAAAAACAGTTGTTAACACATGTAATGTGATCATTGCGATTCTTTTGAATATATGCTTGTACTGTGTACTCTGATCACTGTCACAGGTAGTTTATTCTGTTCACAAGTTCTCTGAGTGCTAGTCCATCATTAAGGAGTGTGTGGGCACTTTGGTGAAATGGCAGTATCCATACAAACATTTTGTTAGGCATGATACCACTAGTTCTTATTGAAAATTGCAGCTTATAGTTCACCTATTTATTGGGTCTCTGGAGTTCTGCTATATACCTCTGTGTGTTTTACCACAGTTATCTTACTGTGAAAGTCTAAATGTTAGCAAAAGTAACAAGTGCTTAACTCCTCCATGTGTGCTACACAGCAAAGCATGCAAGAGCAAGTGTATCACCTCAAAACACACAAATGGATGCGTGTACAGTGTAAATACATATTTGGGAATTAATATACTATGATATTGTCTTCACTCTGTGGTCATTTTTTAAGCCTGTTTAATTCACCTTATCACTCACTTTCTGTACCAACCTTTTTCAATCTGGGTTCCTATAGAGGTTTCTTGAGCAATAACCAATATCTTTCTCTCAGATTATAAACCACTAATTTGTTATTCTTTCCACTGGCCACCAATGTAGGGAGCATTCTTCACTCTGACTAACAGTCCTTCTCCCACTGATCCCCGATGGAAGGAGGTCCTTCTCCCACTGATCCCCGATGGATGGAGGTCCCTTCTCCCGCCGATGGAAGGAGGTCTCCCGCCGATGGAGGGAGGTCCCTTCCGCCGCCGATGGAGGGAGGTCCCTTCTCCCACTGACCGCCGATGGAGGGAGGTCCCTTCTCCCACTGACCGCCGATGCCGAGGAGGGAGGTCCCTTCTCCCACTGACCGCCGATGGAGGGAGGTCCCTTCTCCCACTGACCGCCGATGGAGGGAGGTCCCTTCTCCCACTGACCGCCGATGGAGGGAGGTCCCTGCTCCCACTGACCGCCGATGGAGGGAGGTCCCTGCTCCCACTGACCGCCGATGGAGGGAGGTCCCTGCTCCCACTGACCGCCGATGGAGGGAGGTCCCTGCTCCCACTGACCGCCGATGGAGGGAGGTCCCTGCTCCCACTGACCGCCGATGGAGGGAGGTCCCTGCTCCCACTGACCGCCGATGGAGGGAGGTCCCTGCTCCCACTGACCGCCGATGGAGGGAGGTCCCTGCTCCCACTGACCGCCGATGGAGGGAGGTCCCTGCTCCCACTGACCGCCGATGGAGGGAGGTTCCTTCTTTCTTGGACCACATATATAGTAATCGTCATACTGACCACCAATGACCAATGTAAGAAGGGGGGGGGCATTCTTCATACTGATCACCAATGCAAGGTTTATTGTAAGAAGGAGGAGGGGGCATGTTTCATACTGACCACCAGTGTAATGAGCATTTATCCCATGTAAGTAGCATCTTCTCTCTGACTATTAATGCCTCACTGTGACCACCTTTTGTAAGAGGGCTCTTCTCCCTCTGATCACCAGTGTAAGAGGGCTTTTCTCTCAATTTTTCTTTATTAAAAGTCTTGCCATCAATAAACACAAAATCATATACCAATATAAATATATGTATATTTACACAACGAAAATAAATATAGAAAAATCTGCTGTCAAACAAAAGCAAAAGTCTCATAAATGAACATGTCATTACTGGGGTAAATAAATCTTATTAAGACTCACATCACTACACCAGACATCAAACCTGCGAGGTCAAGAAACAAACCCGCACTCATGCATGCAGCCCTTCTTCAAAAATAAGATTTTAACCAACAAAAACTAAGGAAGTGAAAAGAAAAGTATAAGAAGAGAGCCCCTCACCCAGAGATGGACAGTTCACCAAAGGCAGGTCTGATATTCCTCCATGCCCTTATCCAGACCGCCCGAGGCTCTGTGCCCTTCTCAAGACCCCCGAATCTTCCCAACCTCACCCAGAATATCGTGCACCACTACCTCATCAAGGAGGACTTTCTTCCACAGGGTAATTTGACACCATGCATTCCACGTGAAGTAACAAACCAACTATAATAATGAGAAAAAGTGTGTCCAAGTCAAAATCCCAATGAACTGGGAATGCCCTGTACAGCCACTCTGCATAACTCATGCGATAGAGGAAGTGGATGCCCAAAACCCTCTATGTGAAAGGGACACTGGAGCAGAAAGTGGTCCATAGACCCCACTTTACCAACACACTCTGCTCTAGGACAATCCCAATCATCCTCAGGCCGATGCTTCAGGTTCCCCCTCATATAGAGCCTTCCATGGAAAGTGAGCCAGGCTTGATCCCTAAACCTCAAAGGGATTCTCTCCAAATGAATTAAAAGCAACCCCTCCCTCATTACGGAGCCTTGGCAATCCTTTAAGGTCAGTGATACACTGAAAGCAGAAGCCAAAATCCTCTCCTCCAGAAGCTTCCTGGGAAGGGACCTGATATCCTCCACTGTCACCTGCCACTGCTGAAGTATTTTCAGAACAACATAAGCCAGGGCAACATAAGCCGGGAGCTTGCCATGTCAGACTCTCAGACTTTTCACTGGCCTGCCATCTTCTCAGCAACGCAGAAACGGCTTAAACCAAGACAAATGCCTACCCATCTGGCGGGGTCTCTGCTAACATACTATCAAGATTGTACTTTAAAAAGAGCAAAGAAAAGAAAACTATCGGGTTAACCATTCCTAGGCCAACCTCCCGCCTCGACAGATAAGCCTGTTGATTAGGTTCAGCCTATTTCCCCATAACAGTTGGAAAAACCACTGTAAACCCTTGCATAGAGAGATACCGGCAAGATACCAATGAAGTTGACATATAAAGATCAGGATTAGGTAAGTTTTGATCAAGTCAACAATCTCCCTCAAGGGAAAGCCTCCATCTCTTCCAGCTTGCTACTGTGGCATTAGCATCTATCAACCTGCTTTCCCAATTTCGATGACCATAGTCACCAGGACCAAATTTGATGCCCAACACTTTAATTTCCTGCTGGGGCTCCGGGAAGGCATCCAGAAGTTTGAAGCTTTCACCCGCCACACCCATCCAGAAGACTTCATTCTTTTCATGATTGACTTTAGAGCCAGAAGCCTCTGTGTACTGCTCTATCACAGACACCACCTCCTGTGTCTCCTCAGTCCCAGGGATAACAGACACATTATCAGCATAGGCCATGACCTTCAAAGGTGGCGCATCAGCAATGCCCAGAGGCACCCCGCACAACGACGCACCCTCTTGCCTTCTTACAAAGGGGTCAATTTTGCGAAAGCATATAGCAGGAGGCTCAAAGGACATCCCTGGCGCACACCAGAGCCAACCTCAAAAGGCCGTCCAATCCAACCATTAACAAGTGGGAAGCTCTCAGACCCTCTATATAATGTCTTTGACTAATC